CTTCAAAATGACTAAAGTGATGCATTTTGTTGTATATATATTTGCCAAAAAAAGTTGGTGAAATATCACCCTTGTGTCTAGTGCCTTCCTGACCCTCTCTTGTCAGTGTGGTCTTGAGTCTCCTCCCACGTATACTGATGGATGGGAGTACCTAGACCTAATGCACATGTGCCTGAAAATCCAATGTATGGATGCCAAGTGGACTGTTTTGTGCATTTGAAATCAGGTACTCAAGTTCAAACTTACAGATCTGCTTCTCATCCAGGACATCGTTGGGAGTTTCCACATTGAATAGGACTTCAGTAGGTGACACGTTTTGTGAGGTGGACTCATTGTCATCTGGTTCCAGGTTCCAAGGGGTGGGGGGGAGAAAGGACAGTTCTGTCAGGCTGTCCCGAGGACCACCCCAAGGAGGTACTCTGTGGTACAGATAGCTGGGCAGGTACCAGAGTCCTTCCCCCCCCCCCAACCGGGTTTCCGTTCTTTGTACCACCCCACCTGAGGAGTTCATGAATGGATTGAGATGGTCCCCCATTTTGTGGGAAGGCTTGCCCATTATGAGGGGTTACTAGCAGCCACAGTGGGCTCCTGTTCCCTTAAGGCAGAAGTCCTTTCTCCACCATACCTCTTCCCCGATCAGAAAGGAACAGACCTGCCAGCAAAATACCGCCTTCTAGGATCTGATCCTGTGTCATGCACACGGTCCTGTCCCTTATGATGCCATTGTGGACGTCATCCAAATCAAGTCCCGAGTACAGATGCAGTAATTCAGGATAGGGGACCTGCTCCACGATCACAGCTGGGAACACTGAGGGATCTTCCAGCTATGCAAAAGAAAGAGATGTGGGCCAAGGCTCCCCACTTCTTCTGAGAAGCCCACCCTACCAGATGCCAAGGCCGACCTCACTCGGTGATATTTTTATTCCTTTTTTAATTTGCTTCTTTTTACAGGTGGGACACACCACAGCACATGCATGGTGGTGGTCTGAGAACAACTTGCTAGAGTTGGTTCTCATCTTCCATCATGTGATCATCAGACTTTGCCACAGGCTCCTTTAATTGCTAAGCCATCTTGCCAGCCCCTTTAAGGTATCACTTAAAGGTGATACTTTAAGTGGGATCTTGATTAATAGAGATAGCTTAGCTCTGCAGGACCTGCACTCAGCCAAGTATCTTGTGTATGTGCAGTACTGGGGATAGAATTCAAAGTCCTGTACATGCTAAGCATGCATGCACTTTGCCACTGATCTATATAGCCCCAAGCTGGGCAAACATAGTCCATGGTCTGAGGTTAGAGCTGAGTCTATGATTAGAGTCACTAGTGGGGAGGGATTGATTGATGGCAAGGGTGAGAGCTCAATGTACAGCCTTCTTGCCAGGTAGTCTGAAGCTGCATGTGACTAGTGGTCGTATACTGCACTACACAAATATAGAGCATTTCCAGCATTCCATAAAATTGGATTAGATTGCACTGATCTAGAGCCAGACTGCCTGGATTTTAAACTGTCTGCTATTTTGTAGCACTGTGACCCTAGGAAAGTTTCCTAACCTTTCTGTGTATCAGTTGCCTTATTCATGAAGCTGGCTACCCATATTATTGATCCTATAGATTGTTTAAACTGATCAGTAAGTTTAATACATTCACAACAGGCCCTGGCATGGAATAAGTTATCATTAGGTATCTGGAGCTTCTAGGAAACAAATACTTTGTTTCTTTTAAAATTTTCAGTGTTTGAGAGCTGGAGAGATGGCTCAGTGGTTAAGAGCACAGCCTGCTCTGCCAGAGGTCCTGAGTTCAATTCCTAGCTACCATATGGTGGCTCACAACCATCTGTAATGAGATGTGGTGCCCTCTTCTGACCTGAAGAGATACATGCAGGCAGGACATTGTATACATAATAAATAATCTTTTGTTTCAGTGTTTCGCCTACATGTATCTATGTGCAACACTAAGTGTCTGGTACCCAGAGAAGTCAGAAGAGGCATTGCAAGGAACTGGAGTTAGTTACAGAAGTTGTGACCTGCCAGATGTGGGTGCTGGGAACCTAACCTGGGTTTTCTGCAAGAGCCATAAGTGCTCTTAACCACTGAACCATCTCTTCAGTCCCATGTTTTGTTTCTTAACCTAAATCCATTCATGTTCCTTTCCTGTCTGTCTGTGTATCTATCATGGTTTATGTGTTTTCATATTTCTGACATTTAACAACAATGATTGTTTTCTGTAGAACCCAAGGCAGATGAGAATGAAAAAGCACTGGGATGGAGATTGTTGCGTGGGGAAGCTAAGAACCTGGTATTCTGGAGGGAAGATTTAATTTCAGGGCTGGGGACATCTTAGGGTTATATCTGAGAGGTGTGAAAGATGAGAGACAGGGGGCCAGGGTAGATGACAGAGGGAAGGAGGGAGGCAGGAGGAATAGAAGAAAGCAGAGAGCAAGGAAGACATGGAGAAAGGGAGAGAGGAAGAGAGAAGGTGACTAAGTTTCGAGATCTCGGAGGCAGGTGAGAACAGATAATATGAAAGGGCACGGAAGAGGGATACTTCCTTTTCCTAGGCCAATGAGATGGGAGTAATAACAGGATGGTAGAGATAAATGGGAGAAAATAGGGCAACTGAGGGCAGCCTTGGCTTTGAGTGTCTCTCGATTGGACCAGAGGCTGTCCTGCACTAATGGTAGAGGGGTGCTTGGAGTATAAAGAATAGCAACAGCTGTTGAGTGGAAACAAGTGAGAGATGAGAAATAGCCACTGAGAATCCAGGTAAGGTTATTTTTTTCTTCCCTTCTTACCTGACAATGCCTTCCACAAGACTGCATTCCCCAGTCAGAACAGACAATCAAGCTGAGTTATAGCAGGCCAGAAAGTACAATGTGCTCAAGGTCCACTAGAGGGCAGACTTTGGTAAAGACAATAAGAGTGCCTCCCCCCCACACCCTCTCCCCTCCCCAAGGAGAGCATCTGAATCCACGGAGCTTTGGAAATATTCAGCAGCATCTTCTCTTGGAAAAGGTTTGGGATGTAGCAGCTAGATAGGGCAGGGAATAGACTTGGGTAGGTTACATTGTGTTCCAACTGAGATTAAAATCCAGCATTTTTTAATTTCAACTCTCCCTTTACTTCTTCCACACATGACTGCCTCATCTTTCTTCTTGTGAGAGAGCTGAGTGGAAGGCTGTGGACCATCTAGCAGCACAGACAATGCATCCTCTTGGCTTCAGTGTAACATAAGGGATAGAGCAATGGGGACCAGTATACCAGGATCCTATCCTATTTTCCATCTTCCTCCTGCCCAAAGACACTATTTGTGTCATATCCTGAATCCTCAGGCTGAGAAGATATTTATGGGTGTGCCCACCCATCTGTGTAGAGCCATGGATCTGAAGATGCGAGAACTCCAATTCCATGTTGTAAGTCCAGCTGCCAGTGCCCTCTTTGCTATGTAGTTGTCCCAGAGGTTTTCTTGCTATGACACTGGGCTGAAGGGAAGTAACAGACACCCTACATGATGTTCAGTACTATGTAAACATCCGCTCAGTCCCATTTGCCAATTGACTCACAGCTCAACCAGTTTGCTTAATAATTACTTGCCCATCGTGGTGATTGCGTGTGCTGTAATGCCATGTAGCCAGCCAGCTCACCAAGTGACCATCCAGTGACACCTAGGAGTGCACAGGCTGGCTGGCTGGCAGGCCCAGTGCTCTAACATAGCAGGTGCCTGATTGTTATTTGCTGACTAGTTAGCCATCAATCCCCCTAGACTCACAGGCTGGCTGTTTGTGTGTCTACATCCCCAGGTTGCCCACATTGGCTGACTGTGTTTTATTCCCAGAAGCCATACCTGGTGGATGTCATCCATCCCGTTGCTTGCGAACTCAAACACTAAATCACTGGGCTGCAAGGCAATAGCCATACTGGCTTCTGCCAGAGCTGACAATGACACTCCCCCGGCTCCCTGGAGCTCCGGTGGTTTCTTGATGAAGAGATGTTATTCCAGAACCTTAGGATCAATCTATTGCCTTCTCTGAGCCTCAGTGGAGGATATCCACAGCTAGAGTGGGTGTGGCCTACACCAGGCTCAAGATTGCACGCTGGGCTAAGCCAACAGCAAGAGCAACCTAAGGAGAAGGGAGACATGGAGACAGTGAGTAAGTCAACTTCCTTGACTCCGTGACCAGATCAGCTGGTGAAGTTGAGAGGATCTGCTGTGCCCAGGCGGACTTCCTGTGGAGCGACAACAGACATGGACCTGGCCTGCCACAAGGCAGTAGCAAGAAAAATCTCCGTAACTGTCCAGGCTTGAGAGCCACGTAGATTTGGGTGTGAGGGGCCCCACGCTGCTCATGGGCTCGGTTTACCTTAGAGCTGAGGACCAGCTGGCTCAGAGGAGCACTCTGCAGAGGAAGAAACGCCTCACTTGGGGTGGAGGGGAGGGGAAGGGTGTCGTGGCTGGCAGGTCATATGCCTTGATCATTAGCAACCCTACTGCCCACTACAGGGTGGCCCCCCTCGGTGCTGTGCTTCATGTGGGTTTGTGTTCTTGGCTTAGCTTTGCTTTCAGTTTCAATACTGAACTGTCACCCTGGGAACTTGTGAGGAGAGCCCTGGCTGGGGGAGGGGCCAGCAGAACCTTCCTCATCCTCTATGGCTGGCCCAGCCCCCATATTCCAGGAAATCTGTCTGCTGAAGTCTCTCCCTAGTGCCTCTTAAGCTAGCAAGGCATTGCTACTGCCTGTTGCTTCCCCTGCCTCTACTCCTCCACTGCCAGAGTCCCATGGTGCTTCTAGAATGATCACACCCATGGCCAACTCCCAAAGACTTGATCTCCAGACTTCCTCCGACAGCCTGCTCTGCTCTTCCACCAAGAACACAATGGCCTTTGCACTTGTCCAGGTACCAGGTCTTTTGCCCTTTGGGTTCCTTTCAGTGTGTGATGTGTTTGCAATGTATGGGTAACTAAAAGCAGGCTGACTCAACCATCGGAGCCAGGGGAACACAGGCTACCCACAAGAGCATACATCCCAACTCCTTGCCAATCTGTTAGCAGTGCCAGGGCGGCACTCCCTGGATGGGAGATAAATGAAGAACAGATTGGGGGGGTGGCAAAGAGGGGTGCCACAAGTGACCTCTCTGATGACCGCTCTCCTCCACAGGAGACACCCAAGCCTCTCCCACTTCCTTTCCGTTAGCCCACAGGGCTAGCCCCGCCCAGTCTCCGCCCCCACACCTTTCCACCTACTCCATCGAACATACTGGAGAAGTTGCTCAGCTCAGCTTTAGCCACGAGACTTGTGTTTCCCTTTGGATGGAAGAGAGAACTCTGCTAGGTCCATCCCCAGTGAAACTGTGGAGGTGGGAGAGTGGGGTGGCTGTGACAATACCTTTGTTCTGGTTCCATGGCTCCACCTTGCCCCACCCAAACGCGCATGTGACCCTATGCCTCAGTGGCCTGCAAGACCTTACAGTACCATGTGTCTTGCTCCCCTAGCTTAAGTGCCCTCAAGGCCTGCATTCCAATGCTCCTGCCCTCCCACAGGGCAGTCTGTCTGCCCTTAGGAAACATTCTCATGGTAATCTAATGAAAGGCCATCACTTTCATCTAAACCCACTTCGTCCCAGAATGAAACTTCTGCATCTGCTCCTGCCCCAGGTCATTCACTCACTGGGGCCCTTCCTTTCAGGTTTGTTTGCCTTCTTGTTTTCTCTTCCTAAACCTGCGTTTCATTTTCAAACATTCTGCTGGTGCTGTTTGCTTAGGGTACCTCAATGCATTTACCTTACCTCCCGTATTAAGACACTGGCGTGTGCTGGGTTTATGGAATGAACGCAAGAAAAAAGGAGCAGTAGTGAGCATGGTGGCTCATGCTTGTAATCCCAGTACTTGAGAGGCTGGGGTGGCTACATCATGTGGCTTTGAGGCTAGCCTGGGCTACAAAAAACAGGTTCGGGGAGATAGCTCAGTCTTTACAGTCCTTTCCACAAAAGCCTGTTCACTGGAGTTCAATGAAAAAAGCCTGGCCCAATGGAGCTTGGACAGTGTGACAGGCAGATTTCTAGGACCTGCTGGCTTGCTAGCCTATTCAGTGAGCTCTAGGGTAATGGAGATCCCTTCCTCTCAAACAAACACCAAGGAGGACAATTCCTGAGTGGTTGACCTCTGAGTCTCTATAGGCATGATATACACACATGAGGGTTAGAATCCTACATATGTACACCCATATGGACACACTCCCCCCATACACATGCATACAAAATCAAACCAAGCAAAATAGATAGATAAAAATAAAAAAGGAAGAAGGAACAAAAGAGAACAAATGGGTGAATGAATGGTACTGGCCCAGAGCATCTATTGTAAATTTGGGGAGCCGTACATAGCTAAATGTATACTGACTGCAGTTGAGGAGACATGTGCAAACTCGGAAGTTAGATTGATAATGTGTTTTGCATTTCTAATGCACTATCTGTCCGCTGTGAGTGTGCAAACAGATCACAGGTATATTTGCATATTCAGGGTGTGTGCATGTGTGCCAAGTGTGGGGACATATGTGTGAGAGCCTCTGTGTGTCAAAGGGCTGCTCTGGTCTGGCCAGCTGCAGAGCCACAAGCTCAATCATAGGTTCCCCCTCCTGCTCCCTCAGGGCAGGTAGCCTGAGGTGCCTGGGTGACAATGACAAGCCCAAGCAAATGCTGTGCAGAACATGGGGAAGGTTGCACAGGCCAGGCTTCTGCTAGTCCACACGGATGTATGACTGTGCTTCCCAGGGGAAGAAAAGCAATCCTAGCATAGGTATGGGGCCTAGGGGCCCTCGGGTGAGTGGTCTCCAACCCTAGGCCCACTCTGCTAAGAAGAAAGGTCCCTTGAGCATTGTGTTGGATTGTAAGGAACCTTTAACCATCAGTAGAAAGTCGAAACAAGTCTGAAATGAGAGTGGTAATTCCAATAGCATTCTTCTACAATACCCGCATGTTCAAGTATCTATCTCCTGCTGGAAGATCTTAGAAAACCATCTCCGGTGATCTGGTTCTGCCTGAAGCTAGGGGAGAGGGGAAAGACAGAGACAGAGACAGTCTGAGAGAGGCGGGGAGGGAGAGAGAGTGTGCTGGGGGAGCAAAGCTAAGAAACCTACCATGGAACTTTTCAGTCCAGAAACGTTCCCCTCCCCCTTTAAAAGTTTGAGGATTTGAAAGTGAGAGGTGGAAAAAGGCTCATTTGCATGCTCACTCACTCTCCCCCAGTCCCTCAAAATAACCTCCCTCTCCCAGGAACTTGAAACCAAAGAAGCCACCACCACAGAAGGCACACCCTACTGGAGGTAGGCAAGAAACACAGGACTGTTCTCCTGTCTGGGGTCCTCTCAGAGCCATTTGGCTAGGCCACAGCTTCGACGGCGTATAATCCCCCTGGACACTGCCTTACTAGTGAGTGGAGGTCAGAAGACACAAATGGTTCCAGAAAAAGTCCATTCCCAAGTCTATCTTACTGGAGTGGGAAATGATGCCTGCTTCAGACACTTAAAGCTGACAGGCATAGCAAGGGTGTGTACCACAAGACGGAGCAAAAAGGCCAGGGTGCTTGTAAACACACACCTCTGCGCTGAGGTTCGTTCGACTCCACTTCCAAACCAAAGGAGCATAGAAGTGGTTTGGGCTGATTCTGCATCACAACTCGGCCCCCTTCAGAGGTACAGACCCTTCCTGCCTGAGACTGTCACTGGCACACATCAAGCAGCATCCAGCGGCCACCCTTCTAGACCTCCCCTACAGGGGCAGCTCTACTGGGAAAGCCACATCCACAATCTCTACCAAGTGAGTTTAAATCTAGGCTTGATCAGCTAAGTCAATGGCTCTCAGAATTGCTGGTAACACCCATGGCATTTTCACCCATGCCAAGAAACATGGAGGCCAGATGGTCAGCTGGGCCACACAGCACTATTCTCCTCCAGTTCCTCATCCTCTCTGAGCCAACTGTCACTCCTGAAATACCTCGTTCTCCATGAAACCTTTCTGGAATTCTTTGGAAAGGAAATGACAATTTCCTACATGTCATTTCCCACTCCTTCACCATCCTCCCCCAACAGCCACAAACAAAATGGAAGCTGCCCCAGGAACAGAACAGCTGGCCCCTCTATGAAAAAAAAAAAAAAACAGCCTTTCCTCTGGTTAAACTCAGCGGAGATTGTGCCTGCTGCACCATGTGACCAGTGGCCTGTGTTTAAAAGCCAGAGGGTCACAGTCAGGAATTGAGTCTGCAGTCCTGGACACAGCAGAACTAAGCCATCTGCAGAACTCCAACCCGCAACCCCATCCCAGTGAGGCCTGCACTTCAATAAGCCAACTGAATCCTCTTTCTTGAGCAAGTGCCCAGTAAAGTGGCTCCAGCCACAGCTATGTTGTCAGCTGCCTCTTCTTTGTCCCTTTCTGTCTACTGCTACCTCCACTGGAGATGAAATCAGGAAGGGGGAGGGGGAAAACGGTTTTGTAAGGTTGGGGTTTCTCTATGCTTATTTGCAAGAAAAAAATCCAGGTTCTAAATTGGGTGTGGTGGCAGCATGCCTTTAGTCCCCATACTTAAGAGGTTCAGACTTGAGGATCCTCAGTACAAGCCAGCTTTGGGCTACAAAGCAAGACCTTTGCCTAAAAAAAAAAAATAACAGTCAAGGACTGAAGATGTAGCTCAGCTGGGAGTGTCTGCCTAGGATGCTAGCTGGGTAAAACTGGGCACGGTGAGACACACCTTTAATCCCAGCACTTGGGAGGCAGAGGTAGGTGGATCTCCAGACCAGCCAGGTCTACATAGCGATTTCCAGGCCAGGGCAGAAAAAAAGCTGGAGTTTTAACTCCCAGCACTGCATAAAAACAGGCTTGTTTACACTTGTTATCCCTGCACAGGGGAGGTTGAGATAGGAAGATCAGAAGTTCAAGGCCTAGGCTACATAGCACATTGAGGCCACCCTGTGCTGGACAAAACAAAACAAAACCCTTCACCAAACACAACAAGAAATAAAAAAATCGAGACATTAAAAACAAAACAAGAAAACCCACAGAGGAAACAAGGATGAAAACCGGAAAGCCATCACACAGAGCGTAAGCTTCAGGTGACCTCCAGAGGGCAAGGGTG